ATATATATGAGGATTTGAACAAAATATTACTTAGGATGTTGAAAGGTCAAAATTAAGTGGACTGTGGAGCTTTTTGAATAAATAATGATGATTTTGAAAGGTTAAACAATTGGGTGGAGTCTAGAGATTCAAATGTAAAGTTTGGAATTTACATTTATAATATTTTGATATTATAAATCTATCCATGCGTACATTGCTTTAAGAAGGCAGTAATATTTAGTTTTTTTATGTGAAGTTAAGAATTCGAGAAAGCAAGTAAATAATAAAAATTATATAATATATATATGTATGTATGTATGTATGTATGTATGTATGTATGTATGTATGTATGTATGTATGTATGTATGTATGTATGTATGTATGTATGTATGTATGTATGTATGTATGTATGTATGTATGTATGTATTATCTATATAGATACATACATATATATATATATATATATATACATACATACATATATGTATATATATATATATATATATATGTATGTATCTATATAGATATATATGTATGTATGTATACATATGTTAAATCCAATAATGTTTGGGGAACACACCTAAGAAATGGAGCGTTTTACTAGGATATGCTTGAGAGAGAGAGAGAGAGAGAAAAAAAAAGACACCAATACTAGACAAACAAAAGATGTGTTTTATTCAGAATATGTACCAATACTAGACAAACAAAAGATGTGTTTTATTCATAATATGTGCCCTTATTTATAGACATAGGTCTTAATATTAAAGAAGTACATATTAGCCCCGAAATTATTAGCTTTTTGGGGGTGGGGGTTTTGGTAATTACAAAATTATTGGCATATAATAAAGCCAGGGCTGATTCGATCGATAAAGAATGTCGATCATCTGGTCGATATATGGTCCGGAAGGGCGCTCCCCATCAATCGTTCTGAAAATTGATTACCACCCTACATGATTTTCTCTTGGCTTCTTCTCTCAATTGTTTTGGGAGAATTGTTTCCTTCGCTGCAACTCATTTGGAAATGACCGTCGAAGAATATGCTCAATATTTTGCATCTCCTTCCAGAGTCACCCATCTGCTTTGAGATTCATGCGAACACATTTCTATATGTACATAGTTACCCCTAATTCTCTTGTTCCTCGAAAGTTGTTCAGTACACGAGGATAAGAGAACTATTTGAGCACGTATGAAACAAATAAATGAAATTATCGCACAATAATTGACTTCTCTAGATTTTCATGCCATGTCCATTATAAATAAACTTTGGGGCAAGGGAGGTCGCACCATTTCCGTTTCTTCTAACTCCTTCGTCTTGTGCCCTTCTTATTTATTTTTCACGATGAGTAGCGAAGAAGCTCTTTCTTCTAATCAGAGTGTCCTTCTCAATGCTATGAGAAACATGCGAGCACAAGCCCGTAAGTTAGATTTGAAGCTCACACCAATGGGTGAGGCCTTAGGGTCCATTTGGGGCAACGATTTTCGTGTGGCGCAACCTAGGGCCACTAATTTGTGTCGTTTGGGGCGGCGTTTTGCACGCGACGACAGCACCATTTAGCAAAACGCAAGTCATGGGATAGACCCCACAACCAGTGTTTCTTCTCTGATACTTTATGCACTTACCCTTGGATTCCACCCCACATTCGTATTTTGTCCTTACCTTCCCCACGGAGCTTCTGCTTCCTCTACCCCAACCCATCGTTCCGGACACCATCTTCTTCTGGTATCACATTTACCTATATTATCTTTGAGAAATTTTTGTTTCTCGTGGATTTGCACCGTATAAAAAATTTTTCATTCATATTTCTAGCATTGTTGTTTAGCATATTTTTCATTCATGTGCACACACTCTGAAGTGAGGCAGTGAAATAGATAACCTCAAAAAATTACTATGACGTCATATTATGCATAGTTACTGATAACCCTTGGGTATTTGAGAAAAAAAATTGTAAGAAAGGACAACAGATCATTTTTACCATCATTTTTATGCTCACTGCTAGGAAACATACGTACCTGTTGTCAGTTTAAGCATGCTCATGCAAACTGAATTACAAATGTTATGCTTAGAAAAACATTTTTTTCAATCACACACGCACTCTCTAAAGTGAGGCAGTGAAATAGATTGCCTCAGAAAATTACTATGATGACATATTATGCATAGCTATTAATACCTGTTGGGAAAATAATGAAAAGTTACTGGGAGAAAGGGCAACATATCATCTTTGCCATCATTTTTATGCTCACTACAAGGAAACATATGTAGAATTTCATACTTTGTTACTGAAATTTAGGACTAATACCACTTAGGGTACTCTTAGGACCAGAAAAACATATTTTTCAATCACACACACACACTCTAAAGTGAGGCGAGTAAATAGATAGCCTCAGGCAATTATTGCGAAAGCATATCAGACATAGTTGTCTATACCCCTTCGGGCATATAATATGAAATTATTGGAAGAAAAGGCAATGATCATTTTTGTCATCGTTTTTATGCTCATTGCTACGAAACGTATGTAGAACTTCATGCTTTGTTACTGAAATTTAAGACTAATACCACTTGAGGCACTCTTAGGACAATAAAAGTATATTTTCAATCACACACACACACACTCTGAAGTGAGAAAGTGAAATAGAATGCCTCGAAAAATTACCATGATGACATATTATGCATGGCTACTAATTCCCCTTAGGGCATATAATAAGAAATTATTAGGAGAAAGGGCAACATATCATCTTTGCCATCATTTTTATATTCATTTCTTGGAAACATATGTTGAATTTCTTGTTTTGTTACTGAAATTCAGGACTAATGCCACTTGGAGCACTCTTAGAACAAGAAAAGAATATTTTTCATTCACACACACACTCTGAAGTGAGGCAGGGATATAAATAGCCTCGAACAATTACTGTGAATACATATCATACAAAGCTACTAATACGCCTTGAGGCATACAATGAGAAATAATTAGGAGCAAGGACAACTGATCATCTTTTCCATCATTTTTATGCTCACTGCTAGGAAAACATGCATAGAATTTCATGCTTTATTATTGAAATTCAGATTTAATACCAATTGGGGCACTCTTAAGATAAGAAAAGTATATTTTTCAATCACACACACACTGAATTGAGGCAGGGAAATAGATTTCCTCATAAAATTACTGCGAAAACATATCATGCATAGCTACTGATACCTTTTGAGGATCTAATGAGAAATATTGGTACAAAGGGCAACAAATAAGCTTGTCATCATTTTTATGCTCACTGCTAGAAAATATATGTAGAATTTCATGCTTTGTGACTAAAATTCAATAGTAATACTACGTGGAGCATTCTTATGAGAAGAAAAACATATTTTTCAATCACACACACTCTGAAATGAGGCAGTGAAGTAGATAGCCTCAGAAAGTTATTGTGATGACATATTATGCATAGGGACTGAAACCCCTTAAGGCATTGTTGACCTCATTTTTGGTTGAGACCTAGTTTTCCTCTTTAGTAGCCTAAGGTCTAGTCATAGGACTTCCTGTTGACAATTCCTAGAAAACTAGAAAAGGAACCCTCACCATTAGAAATTATAAACTCCTCTTTACTCAACTTGAAGTTCTACATATTGGTCCTAACCTCTATCACTTAATAGGTGGGGTCACTATGAGGGAGCTCAAGAAGAGTTCCTATAGAACTGTTGGACCTTAAGGTTAACCTTGGGTGTTGGTCTAGAGCTAAGGCACTCACCAGCATCACCTCACTCACAATCACTCACAAATACAAACCCAAAATTTTCTTAACTTTGATCCCTTGATACTTTTGGGATACTCATGTAGATGGTCCCCTAAACCCATTAGCCCTAGGCTAAGGTTTAGCTAAGACCAGTACATAGAGGACCCAAATGGGGTTTCCATTGGTCCATGGCTTATTTATGGTGGTTGGCACCCCAAATCTACCAAAATGCCCAACTTAGCCTTTTGCCCCTAAACTCCCCCAGATTACCTAGATACCATTGGGACCCTAAATTTGGCCAAATTTCTAAAATTTACCCAAAATACCCAAGTTTTTTCAAAAATCATTTCAAGCCTTTTGAAAATACCCAGATTACCCAAAATTACCAAAAAAAATGTTACCCAAAATTACCAAAAAAAAATGCCAAATTACCAAAATACCCCTCCTTAGATAATTCCAAAAAAGTCTAAAAACTCCCAAAATACTCTAAATATTCCCAATTTTTCTTTTCTCAACTACCACATGACCTAATTTGGTCATTTTGACCATTTTGACTAAAACCCCTAAAATT